CCGGGGCAGGGCCTCGCCGGGCCGCCTGGCAGGGCTGCCTGTGACTAGGGACGTGAAGAAGCATTTCACTCCCTGAGTCGTCAGTAACATTGTTATCGAGGGCACGATCCGTCAGTGGGGGAGGCGCTCAGCCCCGGCTCGCACTGCGCCGGGACCTGCTTCCCCTGCGGCTCTGCACTGGAAAAGGCACCTGCCCGCCGGCTCTTCCTACATTGAAAATGCTTAACCACCGTCACAGATCTGGGGCCAGCTGCAACTGAGCTGGGCTCGCTCACGTGGGTCCAGTAGCCCTCGTCCGCCGGGTTCCCGGTGGGGATCTGGGACGGGGCAGAGCAGCCTCCATTCATGGCCAGCCCAGGCCGCCACAGACAGGGTCTGCTTTGCCCCCCCACCCCACCTGCGCTGCTGCTTCTGAGAGAGGCAGGGGGCAGGGAGCAGGGGGCAGGAGACGGTGCTGGGGGGAACCAGCTTTAAGCCGACTCCCCACAGCACCAGCTCCTGCTTCCCCCTCCTTGCTGCCTGTCATCCAGAGACAGCAGGCGGGGGGATGGGAGTAGCCAACTTGACTACAGGTTGAAACTCTTAACCGGGACTCTCTGGTCTGGCCACAGCCATGCTCCTTGGATGATCCAGGAGCAGAAAGTCCTACTGGAGGGCGAGCGCCTGGGAGCCAAGCAGGCTGGCAGGGCAGCAGGAGCCCCATACACAGTAGCCTGGTGGCTTGGCCCTTCCCCCGGCCGATGCTCATGTCCTTGACTCCCTCCACACCTGCCAATCAGGAGCCTCCAGTGAACCACCGAGAGACCCGTTGGCACCATCTCCGGGCTGACAGGGACACTGCTGGCTGGGGGGGGCGCATTTCAAGAACCCTGCTCAGCCCCCAAGGCCCCAGACTCGTGCAGGCTCAGCTGCTCTGTGGCGAAGGGGCACGTTCGGTCGGTACGTCGGGGGGATGGAGCAGGCTCAGCCCAGAGCGATTCCTCGCCCAGTAAGGCGGCCGCACTCCAACCCTCGGCTGGGCACGTGGGTCGCGCCATTCCCGGGGATCCCAGCCATGTGGGGCTGAAGCTCTCAGGAAGGGTCAAGTCTCTGCTCTGAGGCGGGAAGTTTTTCAGTGAAAGAGCTCCCGTGTATCATGGGAAGCCAAGTATTTTCCCCTCTCCCCGTCGGGGCAACTCCAGGGCCGTGTAAAGCTGGAACCCTCAGAAAGTTCAATCCGAGGTGACTCCTGGCCGGGGAATTTCTGCCCCAGACGTTTGAGTCTGAAAGTCACAGGAACTGAAAACTCACACAGGGCGTCCCCGCTGTAAGTCGCCCGGTGTACACCCGTTACGCACGGACGTCACTGTCGCTCGTTGGAACTGATGGGTGATAAATCCTCCCATCCCCCGCTCTTAAGTCGCACCAAAAAAAACAATTTGCGTAAATGGGAGTCAACAGCAGGAAAATAATTCCCCACGTTAAGTTATTTCACTTTAAGTCCAATTTTTTTGGATTGTCTCTTGTACGTATAGCGCGGCTGGGCTGTAACAGGAACTGCCAGGCAGCCGTAACTGGTCATGGCGCTGCCCCCGCCTGTCAGATCCCTGCGCCCAGGAGCTGGGGGTAACATTCCTGTTCTGTGGATATGCTGGGGATCTGTCCCAGGGCCTGGGCTGGGTCTGAAAGGGGCGGGGGAGGTGCAGCCCAGTCCTGAGCTTGCGAGGAGCATCCCTGGGGAGTCGCTAGAACAGGCCGGACTTTTTGGTGGGATGTCGCCCCGGGAGGCCGGCAGCCTGGGCATGATGGAGCCAGGTTAGTCCTTTCAGTCTACACAGGAAACAGAGTCAGGGCCAGGCACAACCTTACCTGAAACAGGCTGTTGGAGTCTGTCAGAGGGTCAGGCCCATCACTAGTCCCTCTGCGCTGCCTCTGGGATTGCCAGACTTTGCTTGGCACATTGTAGAAAGTAGTAATTAGACTCTGAAATATATTACTGTACCGACAGTAACATGACTTATGACCTTGATAGGAGTCTTCTTGGCGAAAATCAGGGAGCAAGTTATAGACCTAAAGACAAACACGGACAAGGGCTGCCGTGAGACCAAGGTACGAGCCTCCCCATGGCCAGCTCCTGCCCCTCCTCTCACCAACACCTCACCCTGCAAATCTCCACCATCGCCCCTCTCACATCTCTAGCCTGGACTTCCCCAGCACCCAGCCCCTTCCCACTAGTGATGTCAATGTGTAGTCAATTACATGATTAATCAATAAGCTTATTGGTTCACCCTATCCATTACATGCACCATTACATTTGTGGCTGATTTTGCGCAAAATCTTGCCAGTCTAGACGCACCCCTGAGGTTACATCGACAGCTTGAAGATTCACGGTTGTTTGGTTTGGCTTTGCCAAGAGGTCTCACAGGTTCTTCACTTCGTCCCATTCAGCTTTTGTTAACTTGAGTTCTCGTTTCAGCAGCAGCCACTTGTTCACAGTAAGACTGAAAAACGAGAAGCCGATCAACCATCACAAATGTTGAACCCCAGCGAGTCACAGTATCCAATGATTAAGTTACCCCATGTAGATCAAGCAGAACACTTAGAATACTTGAGGTTTGTAGTTTGACAACGACTTGTCAAATTTTTGCCAGAAATTTCTTCACTTGTTCTTTGTTGAATCCATCCCAGATTGGTAACTGAAGAGTGTGAATACCACACCTCATCAGCTGGACTTTTGAGTCGTCCTCATGAAGCCATGTTGGAAGTATGAGACTAGGGTAGCATATTGCGCAGCAGCATCCATGTTGAGTTTGATTTCATCCATTCCTTTAGTTCCTTCATCAGGCAAAATAGCTTCAGTTCTCAGAGGTAGAAATGGTTTCATTGTCCTCGCTGAAATTTTTGACGGCACACATCATGTTTGCTGCATTGTCAATGCAGATGCTCAGCACTTGCATTTCACGGATCCCAAATTTTTCTAAAATAGCTTTTACTTGACTTTTCCCGTAGGAAGAATTGTGATGCCCTTCAGTGTCGATTATAACCAAGGTTTTTACCACAGCTTCATCTTTTCCTTCTTCATAGTATCGAGCATTGATTGCAAGGAAATTTCTGTTTCCATGGGTTTTGGAATGGACATGAGCAATACGTCTTAAAGAACATCAGTTATGAAAGGTATCTAACTTTTCTTCTTCGAGGGATTGCTCATGTGCACTCCAATGTAGGTGATTCCCAAGCAGCTATCCAATGGTGGGGTCAGAGGTCACCAGTCTGCCATCTGCATCGCTACCCATCCAAATGTGGCATCCTCCCTAGCATGATGTTGAATGGCAAAGTGGGATGTAAACCTGTGTACCGAGGACCACGTGGCCGTTCGACCAACATCTTGGATGGGGACGTGCACCAGGAAGGCTGTTGATGAGGCCTGTACTCGAATCGAGTGGGCAGAAAGCTAAGGGGCTGGCACTTTCGCTAATTTGTAACACGTGCAAGTACACCCTGTGGTCCAGGGGGATATCCTCTGGGTAGTAACAGGCAGCCCCTTCATCCTCACTGCTATTGCAACAAACAATTGATTAGACTTCCTGAACGGCAAGCTCAGACCGAGAGTCAATGGGAGGAGGTATTTAAATTTGTTCATGGATGCCCACATGTTAAAATTGCAGTGGGCCAACACCGCCTATTGATTAGCCACCTTCAGCTGGAGGCAACCAGATGAGGACACTTTCCTCTCCAACAAGTCCAGCCTCTTAGAGTCCTTGGATTTGGGAGTAGGGCCGTGGTGATCCTGGAGTTTCTTAGCATTAGCTGCATCCACCACCAAGGTTCCCGCTTGTGGGTGTGTATACAAGTGCTCCTACTCCTTCAAAGGGGCAAAGTACCACCAAGCCACCCCATTAGTGGTTGGGGGAATGAAGTGAAGTGAGGGTTCTGCCAATGGGTTTTCATAGTGGAGGAGACAAGATTTTCACTATAAGATGTGCATCCTCCCCCACCTCCTCTATTTGTAGACCCATATTCTGGGCCATTCTCCTCAGTAGGTCTTGAAGTGCCCTTTTGTGTATAAGGGGCAGCAACATCTCAACCCCAGATACCACCTCATCAGGTGACGATGGGGAGGAGGGATGCCACAGCTCCCCTACTTCCTGTTCCCCCTCTGGTACCAGGACTGGTACTGTGGGCACATGTCCTTGGTCACTGGCACCAGAGTGCAGTGAAGTGGGCAGCACTGGACACAGAAACATCCCTGCAACGTGGTGCCATTGGTCCCCCCCAGAGTGGGGAGTGCTCCGATTGGGAGCTCAGTGCTGAACAGGATTCCACCGGCGCCCTGAGCAGCTGCATAGCAGGTATCTGCGACCCCAACATAGTCTGAGACGACTTTACCCCTACGGTGGGGTCTGGACCCAGAGCCTCTGAAGGAAGGCCCCTGCTCCCTGAAGCAATGGAGACTGAACTGGAGCCCCCAGCTTGTGTCTGGTCATAGGCCCAGGGAGTCCAGAATGGCCACTGAGTCGAGACGTGCCACTGAGGAGTCATTGTAGAGTCAACTCCTGTCTCCTATCCAGAGGGACCTGTGCTGAGCGCAGCACCTCCTCTTCCATCCATGGCCTTCAGGTTCCGACTCTGACATGGATGTGGAACATGGGGACCATGGAGAAGTCTCTGCACAGGTATAAGGTCACTGGGAGGATGCTGCCTTATACAGGTGCTCTCCCAGCACCGGTGCTGAAGGGAACCATCCCCGCTGATTGACTGGTGCCACCTGTGAGGACTCCAACTTGTGCAGGAGCTGTCACCAGAGTGGATGAGAGGTCAATGGTTCCAGCTCCATGATTGATGCCAACTGGGAGGACTCCACCTGGCAGCACACACCAAGAATTTCATTCCTGCCCACCCCCTCAGCAGAGCTGCACAGCTGTGGCCCCAGCTGCTGCCAGGGGTGGAGCTGCATAGCAGGTGACTGCCCACCCCAGGAGCAGCTGGGAAGCTGCTGGAGCTTGAGCCTGGGCCACAGTCTGCCTCCAGTCCTGGCACATGGGGCAGCCACCCTCCACATGGCCCAGCCCCTAGGAGCAGCTGGGGCCATAGCTGCATGGCAGCTGCTGGGGCTGGGACCGTGGTACTAAAAATAGCACCACAGCCCCAGCTCAAATCCCAGCACACAGGGCAGCCACCTGCCATGCTGCCCCACTGTGCAGGTGTCAGGAAGGCAGAAGGGGTATGTGTACACTACAGAGTTAGTTCGAACTAACTTAGTTCGAATTAGTTAATTCGAACTAAGCTAATTCGAACTAACGCGTCTAGAACTAAAAACTAGTTCGAATTAGCATTTTGCTAATTCGAACTAGCATGTCCACATTAAGTGGACTCTGAACAGGGCTTAAAGATGGCCGGAAGCAGTGCCGGCAGGGCATAAGAGGAGGACTTAGAGCGTGGAGATGCTGTCTCAGGCTAGCCGAGGGCTGCGCTTAAAGGGTCCCGACCCCCACCCCGG